TTCCACACCCAAAAAGGAGGGGCGCAAGATGACACCAAAGTTTCATATTCTCTTCTTTTTCTGCACTACCTTCAAGGTTGAAGGGGAGAGAATAAGAAAAGGAAGACCAAAAGAAGGAGAAGGTAAAGAAAATGAATTTATTTTAATTCCTGGAAAAAATAACCATTTTCCCTATAATTTCCATATATATGCATTTTTGACACTGACGTGCTGTAGTATGGGTTAGTAACTAATGAATGGAAGTAGTAGTGTGTGAGAATATCCACAAGCCTAAATTTACTCTCATTTTCTTTCAAAAGTGATTGTGGCAACTGAGGAGGAAATAACTTAAATGTGCTTTTTTAATTTTTTGGCTTAGAAGCAAGTTGGAAGGAAGAAACACAGCAAAAAAAAGCATTTAGGTTTGAGGAAATGAGACAAGCAATGAACTCTCCCCCCGCAAAATCTCCAAACACTAGATAATTTTTGTTTGATTTTCCATTCCAATGGTGAGACAGGCAATAATATAAGGGCACTGTATTCTTTTGCTAGAAACATTCTGAGTAGTACAAAAGCTCCTGCCTTCTTCTTTCACAGTTTACACGTAAATAATGTAATTTACTACAACTTCAACAGAATGGATAGAGAGAGGAAAGAGTTTTTATGAATGAACTAATAGATTATGTTGCCATTACTAAGCTGAGCAAGCAAATGTGAAGTCAAGACAGGTAAGGTGGGGCTGGGGATTTAGCTCAGTGGCAAAAGCGCCTGCCTGGCAAGCACAAGGTCGTGAGTTCGGTTCCCGGTACCAGAGAAAAACCCAACCCCCCCTCCCCAAAAAAAAAGACAGGTAAGGTAAGAGACAATTAAGGGTTTTAAATAAATGTAATTAGATCTATACTGAATATAAAATCAATGAGAAAATTTCATGTGTGACCAAACATTTGTTCTCAATGATTATCTTTTAATATCCCTTTTCCCTGGTGAGGGTCTACTTCACTTGAAATTTTCAGGTGATAACTGACTCTATTATTGATTTCACAAAACCTTCCTTCAAGGATTTGGTATCACAAAAACTTCTAATGAATTAAAGTGTAAAATTAGCAAAACAATGATGAAGATTATAACAGCTTTAAAAAGTCATTTTATGAAAGGCAGTCCAGAGACTTAAAACCTTGGGAGCCAATAAGCAGACTCATAGCAAAGACCAGATGAACATGTGATTTGGACCCATTCCAACCATCCTGCCACCAGCACCTTTGCCTCTGTTCTGAAGTAACATACATTGTTTTCAGCTTACTGCATGCATTTACAGATGTGTGCATTTAGGAACTTATAGCTATATATTTTTGTGTGTTATATAGTATATCTTACACTGTTTTATATTTTTGTCTTTACACACATTGAATACTATGTTCATGTGTTCTGCACCTTATCTTCATTTCAAATTACGTAGGGCTTTCTATCAATATATAAAAATGAGCCTCATAGTTTTGAAGAGTAACATAGAAGGTTGGGGATATAGCTCAGCAGCACAGTGCCTGCCTGGCAAGTGTGAGGTCCTGAGTTCGAGTCCCAGTACCAAAACAAAAGAGTAACATAGAATTCTACTCTGTGACCACACTGTTATTTATAAAATCATAGCTTCACTGATATGTATTTAGATTTAAAGTTGAGTTGAGTCTACTACTACTACTGCTGGTAATAGTAATGGTAAATATTAAACATCCTTATGTAAGCCTGTTTGCATATATTTATAATTATTTCCTCTAGGCTGGGAACCTGAGCATAATTGCGGGGTTAGAGGATATATCATTTTTACTATAGATAGATACTGTTAAATAGCCCTCTGAAACGATTATAGCCTCACGAAAAATACATGAAATCATTTTTAAGTTTTTCATCATAGGATATAATGAGGCTGAAATTTTTGCCAACCAAAGGGACAAAAAATGGCCTAAATTGACCTTTCTGTAATTATGAGGAAATATTAGTGAAGCTGAGCATATTTTCACGTGATATGGGCTGGGGATATATATGGGCTGGGACTATAGTTCAGCGGCATAAGCACCTGCCTGGAAAGTGCAAGGTCCTGAGTTCAATTCCCAGTATCAAAAAAAAAAAAAAAATCCATGTGATATGTATCTTTGGGAAATGGCAACACATATTTCTGTCTCTATTATTTTCCTTGTAATCATTGATTTTTAGATATTTTTAGTGTATTCTGGATATTGAAACAGTGTTACATATTGCAAATATATTCTCCCATCTTTTACATTTTTTTTACAGATACTCTTCATTTAATTGAATTAAATGTATATTCATTTAATATTGGCATATTTACCAATCATTTATATTATGCCAACATTTTAAAAAATGACCTAAGATCATAAAAGCCTTTGTCTGTACTTTCTTCTAATATGTTTGTATCTTTTAGTCTTAAGATCTTTAATTGTCTGAGTATCTTGTGAAGAAAAATTTATTTATTTTCTCCCAGAAGGTAGCTAATTCCCCCAACATCATTTAGTGAATAATCTTCTTATATTTACTGAGCAAAATATTGTTTTATTATAGAATGAGTTGACATAGGTCCGTCATATCTTTTTTGAATTAGTTTCTCTTCTACTGATCTGTACTCCTGCACTGCACCACATTTTTGTTTATTATAGCTTTTCCTATAGTATGCTTTCATAATTTCTAAGGCAGGCATCACTATGCTTTCACAAACATGCAGTTTTGGCTATTTTTATATGCTTTATCACCCACAAGAAGTTCAGAGCTAATTTGTCATGTTTTCACTTAGAAACTTGGCTATTTGATTAAAAGTGGGAAAATTTTGCACTTATCCATTAAATTATGGAGAAAGAATATTTTTAAATGTTGATTTTTTTCTATCCAGGAACTTTTAAATTCTTTAATAAAATTCTTTTTCTAATCATTTCTGCCTATATTTTATCATTTCCCCGTGCTCGTTTGGATTGGGATGATTGTCCTCTTTGGCGTTTTTGTGTCAGTTATTGCTATGTAGAGGAGACGTTTGCCTTTTGTGTAGAGATCCTGTATCCTTAGCCCATCTTTCAGAACACTGGATTTGGACACAAAACTTCTTAAGGTTTTCCTCATGGGACAAGTAAATCACAGGAACATAGGAAAAATTAGGCATCAAGCTATTAAAAGATACTTTAGTTCATTTCTTCTAATTTGGACCTTCTCGTGTCCATGGGACCACAAGGGCTTATCAGGGGAACAGTATCAGGCCAGACAGCTGGCCATGTCACTGCTGGGGTGGTGGCATGACTGGCCCCTGTGGAGAGGGGTGTGTGGCATGGAATTCAGAAAGATATGAAGAGAAAGTCTTCACAGATGAAAGGCGCAGGAGCAGTGCAAACAAAGGAGGCATTATTTCCTAGGCTTGAACCTTACTTGTAGCACTTTCTGTGTAAAACTGAAGGCCCAGCTTATTAGACTTCAGATGTTAATACCTTCTTTGTTTGTGTCCCTGTGTATTAAATGGAATATTGCATAAAAAATGCCTAGTATACAGCAGGTGCTCAGCAAATGGAGGCCTTTGCTGTTATTGGTAAGATGATGGTGGAGATGGACTTTTAGTCTTATAGGCCTGGTTTGGGGTCCTGGCTGTGCCCCTTCTTGCGGCATGATGTATGATGAGCTACTTTTGAAGCTTCAATTTCCTCAAATTGGGCTGCACGTAAAGATGTAAGTGAGAACATGTAACTCGGAGCTACAAGGGCTACGATACTTCCTGTAATGTTGGCTGCTAATCGTGCCAGTCTTGGCAGTCTTCCGGTAAGAGATAGGTTCTAATTGGGAAATAGAGAAGAACTGTGTCTTATTACCTTAGAGTAAAGCTGCAGTTTGTAATGACATTATTTAAAGGAGACTTTGCATATCATTTGTGGACTATGAATAATTTCAGGATTTTGAGTTAATGAATTTTGTGTTTTAAAGGTATTCTCAGATTGTTTTCCATAAAGCTCTCTCATAAGGATCCCAGGTAGTCATCCAAGGCATTCATTCAAAACCAAGTATCTAACTTCTGTCGTGACACTGAGTAGCACAAAGTACTACTTTACTAAGATGTAATGGGACTGACTTCCACCTGTGGTTTCTTGCCTCAAGCCTCAAGCAAAGATAACATGGAAAAACAAGGGAGAAACAAAGACATAGCAGTTGTATTGAGCCACTCTGCTCTTTAGAGTGGGATAAAACTAACCTTTTTCATTTATTCATTGAATTTAAGCCTAAGAGAGTTGCACTTAAGTTCTTTTGCATAGGGTGAATGAACTGATTATCATAATTTTGAGCCTGAACCAGTTCTTTCAAATTAGAGGGGCAAAAGGACTAACTGTGGTGTAAAAGCTGACGTCTTTATGAAAGAAACTTCTTGCTAAGATATTTCTTTCAAAACATATCCAGATTCAAATCAGTGGTTGATTTAAATGTTCATGAAGAAAAGCCAGATGCTAACCCTTCACCGCAGTATGCCAAGCATTCATGCTATCCTTGGGGAAAGAACAAAACAAAATAAAAACAAAAACAAAGCAAAAAACAGAAGTCCTTACACATGATTAACTGCTAAGTCAAGTGTTAAGACTGCCTATTCAACAATCATCAAATCTGCTGCCAACATCCATGAGTTTTAAATTTATTACTCAATGATTTTCAAAGAAGTAACTTAAATGATTAGAAGAAGTCCAAGGGTTAAATGGGAAAGTCCCTCTTCTCTTACAATGCATGTGGAAATGATGCGCCCATAAGGATCAGAGGAAGAGTTATAAATGCGCACCTTTGTGACACTGATCCCCAATTTAACACCACATGATTCCCCTGGAATTTCTCCCCACAAGTGCTGAAAGGTAGGCACTGTGAGAGAGGTCACCGGTCTTTCCCCACCCTGCTTCTGAAAGACTTTCGACCATCGTAAAAAGAAGACAGAGGCAGAGTTTACAGTTTCTCAACAAATGTTGATTAAACTTGGGTTGTTTGTCATAATTTTCCAGGTTTGGTGATTGGGACAGGATTGCACCTAGTGAAAAACGTGTACAGAAGATCTGCTTCATCCCCATTCTGAAGGCTTCGCGTGATCAGCTTCTCAGAGGAGGTGCTAAGCGGGATCCGGTAGTGGGAGGCAGGGTCATAATTCTAACTTCATTCAGATCTGTCTTAGGGCAAAGAACCCATAGCAGTCACTTTCAAGTTAGACTGCACTGAGAATTTCCAGGAGAGTTTTCAGGATAGAAATGTGCTGGCTGTCCAGGTAATTCCAGTGTACACCCATGGTGAGGGCCCTAGCTCCAGACACTCATCAGAAAGATTAGTTTTCATTGTTCTCAAGCCATGGAATACAGTCTAACAAGCCTTATTTAGGTAGAAACAGTGGTAAGATCAGGGTTTAAATTGATAGCTTCAAAGAAGAAATAAAAGTGCAGGAAAAGTCCCAGGTATGAGTTCTTAAGCTGTGATCCATATATTTTATAGGGATTCTGTAACTCTGGAAATGTATGACAGGTTTTGAGACTATGTGGGTGTCTACATTGGGAGGGGGTAAGATAAAAGAGTGAACAGGTTCATCCGTTTCAGAAGATAATCAAAGGAAGCCACAGACAGCAAATCTTTTAGGAACATCAACTGAACATCCAATGTGCTGCAGTTCACTCCCACACAAAGGCACACATGTAGTTTTTTCAAGAGAAATTCTGCAGATGCTGAATACTTCCCCAAACCTTCACCTTTTCCCCCCTTACTCCTGAACTCTGTCACTGCACTGGCCCCAGTCTCTGGTTTCCAGGGGAGTAGAGCAGCTCCCACCTCCATTCTGATCTAGAGAAAGACACCTTCCCTTGGGTACCTTAGCACAGCTAGGTGAACTTGATCTTCTCCAGACCACACACAGTGATGCACAAGTAATGATGGAAATGAGCAATCAATGTCGAAACAGGTCATGAGAGTCACGAGTCAAATGGGGAATTTTGTTCGCTTGTACTCCAGGTTTCTGTTTCACTTTCTGGATAGCTTAACAACTTCCCTTAAAGCCGTCTATCTCCCCTGGCTGGGATAGTCCTAGCTCTGGTGACGTGGGGACCAAAAGAATCTCACAGGTCCCTAAGGGACTCTCTTGATACTTCTTCAGTGTCTTCTTACCTCTCAATATCCATGCACTGTAAACCTGGACTGATGAGGGAACAGGTTTGGATTTACACATTAAATCCTACCAAGGGATAAAGGCATCCTAACAGAACTTTTTCTTTTTATTAGTACATGTTTGTAGTGTGCAATGTTTACATCTATCACAGGGAGTAGAGTACATGTAATTAGCGTATCGTAATTCCTTTTCGTTCCCCTTCCCCTCCCTCCATCTCTGGATCCGTGTCTCATTTGCAAAAGATCTGTCCTCCTCTAACAAAATTTCTGACATTGAAGTGTGTAAAATGGGCAGCTTGTTAAAGTGCAGATTCTGATACCCTCTAGGACCACTGTGAGTGGAGAGGGCTAGGGAGGGCCACCTGCTGAGGCTGGTGGCCAGCAACAGTACCGGACCTTTCAGCTGTGTCTGCCATGGCGTTTGGAAAGGGACAGTGCAGCCCTGATGCATGGACTTAACATATCAGACAATGGCTCGTGTTTCAGGTTATCTGTCCTGTTTCTATCTGGAGCACTAGGAGCTTGTGCCAGATGTAACATCATTGCAACCCTTTAGCTTATACAGGGAGGTGGTGTTATCTTTATAAGAACTAGTTCGTCTCACTCACTGCCTTCAGCCAGTCTTAGCCACATGGGGCAAACTTGCTCCCTTCTGCTGATGGAGTTCGACTGATCTCCAAGCTAGCTCCGTGTAAACAAAGCTCTGGATGTCTGGTGGACATGAGTCTGTGACCTTCTGGCTATTTCACTTCTTTTCCAGTCCAGTTTCCATGCTCTGCTGATACGAGAGCCCAGCCTTGAAACATAGATGGGTTCTTTCCTCTCTTCTTCTGAGTTCTGACTCTGCTCCTGCTAGCCCTGGCCTAACCCATATGGACTGAGGGGAGGTGATGCTGACAATGGCTGGTATTGACCTCTGACCCAAGTAGCTTCCACTTGCTTCCTAGAATGCTGCCTTTGAGAGCTGATCAGTCTTACATAGCCCAGCTTTAGCCCTGTGACCATGCCTTGGTGAGTCATGTGTCCATGAGTCTTGCAGTTCCAGGCCTGGAAGTGGTGGATGTACTAAATTATTACTAAGAGTAGCATCGTTACTATTAATAAACTCAGTGATGAAAGCAGTAATAACCAGCATTTACTGAGGGATTCCAATGTTCCAAACTCTGGTTACGTGGCTTGCATATATTGTTATATTCATTCTCAGAAGAATGTTCTGAGTTTCCATGTTTTGGGGGCACAGTTTTTCCAATGGAGAAAATGGGGCCCAGGAAAGTTTAAGATACTTGCCTGCCATCACTCAGATAGTAAAAAGTGGGGCTTAGAATGAAACGCATAGTTTTTGGGTGAAATGTCTGCCTATAACCGCCATGATACAGTGCCTCTGCTGCCAGGTGCCCAAGTTAGTCTGTGACTGACAACTGCTTGAACCCTAATTGAAAACACCATTAATGATGTTCTTTTAATAGTTGCTGAATATCAGTTGTGTATTTCTTGTTTGTATTTTTCTGTATTGGTAATTGGACTCACAGTGTGGTAAGTACTGAGCATGTTCTCTATGAAAGTTCACTAAGTATATTTGGGAAACATGACTATTGCATTTGTATTCTCAGGTGTGTATAATAAAAATTCTCAAAAGTTCGTGCACATTATTTTTGTTGCTGACAGTTTAAATCCCAAGAAGGGAGTTGATACCCTCTGTCATGCCTGATTGGTGTTGTGGATTAGTGAGGAAACATGACCAGCAGAAAACAGAATTCATTCCGTATTTCATGCCTGGAGTGATTATAAAACTTTAGTGCACTAGATGAGCCAATAGAACTGTGGTGTGAAGCTGCCATATATCAGTGCAAAGCAGGAGGCAGGAGGCAGTTGCCTTCCTAGCCTAATACGGATATTTGGTGCAATTGCCCAAATCCTTGGCCTGTCTTGGCATACAGCAGTCATGGTATATTGCAATGCTGCCACATGGAAATGCTTCTAGACAATGCAGCTTTTGCAGAAAATAACAATTTGGGCTATCTCATGAATTGCAATTACTTTGCATTTACATTGCATTTATCCTCAAAATTGTGTAAATAGTTTTAAAAAGATCTCCCAGTGCTTCCTTTGTCTGTAGCATTTTCTAATTCCTACTTCTAACAAGATGCGTTGGTGCTGAAAAGGAGCACTTTCTAGGCAAACCAGGCCAGCACTTGCTCAGGGTACTGGGGCCTCAGGCACCGTGATAGCGGCTAGAACCCAGGCTTCTTTGATTGTGAACAAGAAAAACTGAGCCTAACTAACTTGATTAGAAAAGAAAGGCATTTATTAGAAAACATATGGTAGTTTACAGAAAGGAAAAGCTAAAGAACCATACAGAACAAGCAATGGGAAAACTCCAGAAATCTAGGCGTCAAGAACAAATGTTCTACCTTTTCAAATGCTCATGATCAGGATGGAAGCATTCATTTAGGCTTAGTGGCACTCCAACCAAGACTTCTAGGGTAAAGAGTATTTGTCCTAGCTTGGAGGGAGATCTTGACCTTGGGATGAAAGACAAGAAAGTCTAGATATTCCTTTCCCTTTACCCATTCCCCTTTGGCATGTAGCAGTGTAGCTTTTCTCATCAAAAAGATGTTTGTTTCCCTCTCCTTGACCCTGGGCTGGCTTGGTGACTCCCATTAGCCAGTAGTAAAGGTGACATGTGTGTCTGAGTGTAGACCTCAGGGAACCCCATAAACTTATTATCTCTTTCTTGGACTCATGCTGTGGTGTTTAACTTCCTGTGTTCACTTGGCTGAGCTAAGGGCTACCCAGATAGCTGATAAACATTAATGATTGATATGTGTGTCTCTGAGGGTGTTTTGGAAGAAATAAGCATGTAAATTGGCAGATACAGGAGACCCGCCCTCAACCTGGGGGAGTGTGCTTCATGGAGTCCACTGGGAGCTCCAACGGAAAAAAAGGAAGGAGGAATTAATTCACTCTCTTGTTTTAGACCAAGGCATCCATCTTTTCCTGCTTTTTTGGACACTAGCACTCCTGGTTCCTAACCCTTTGGATCTGAGGACTTATACTGCCCCCTCCCTGTACCCTGTTTGTCAGGCCATTTGCCTTGGACTGAGAATCATTGGTTCCAGTGTGTCTCAGGTATTGGAGATCAAACTAAATTACACCGCCAGTTTTCCTGGTTCTCCAGTTTTCAGACAGTAGACCGTGGGAGTTCTTGGCCTCCATAATTTCATGAGCTAATTTTCATTATTCATTCATTTTCTCTTTCCTGCTCTCACCCTCTGTCCCTCTCTCCCTCCCTCCTTCCTTCTCTCTCTTTCACTTTCTTTCTCCCCCTGCCTTCTAAACACACAGTCTTAGTCCATTTTGTGCTGCTGTAACTCAGTTTCTGAGACTAGCTAATTTCTAATGAACAGAATTTTATTGACTCATGTTTTGGAGGCAGAGAAGTCTAAGATTAAGAGATTGGCAATGGCCCAGGCCTTCTTGCTATGTCATCCCATGGTAGAAGGAAGAAAGGGTGTAAGGGTAGAGAGAGACCAACTTCTTTTATAATAAGCCCTCTCCTATGATGATGACATCAATTCATTCACTTGCCCTCATAGTTTAATCCTCTTTCATCATACCCCAACTCTTACACTGGAGATTACGTTTCCAACACATCATTTTGGGAAATCACACATACAAACCACAGCACGTACACACCCTGTTGATTGTGTTTTCCTAAGGAACACTGACTAAGGCACTTAAGCCATGGGAACAAGTCTGGACTAGCATGTACCAGGGAGGATCAGTGGTCACATAAATAGTGAAGAGCTATTTCTGCTGAGGTCCTATTTTCCAGTGTATCCATTACCTTATTGTGCAGCAGGTTATTCCCCAAACATGGAAGCTTCAAACAATGATATTTCTTATTTCATAGTCTCTGAAAGATAGGAAACCAGCTGCAGCCAATTCTGGCTTGGAGTC